TGAGGAAGACTGGCCCTGGGCTAACATCCATGCCCATCTTCCTCCACTTTATATGGGACGCCGCCACAGCATGGCTTGACAAGCAGTGCGTCGGTGCGTGCCCGGGATCCGAACCGGCGAACCCGGGCCACCACAGCAGAATGCGCGCACTTAACCACTTGCGCCACCGGGCCGGCCCCTCTGCTCTGTATTTTTGAGTGAGTTGTGAGATTTGCAAAGAATATCACGTTTGTAAGGCAGATAGGGAAATTCTAAGGAAGAGGCAAGGTGGAAGCTAATTAATACATATGTTTAAATACAGTTATGTGCTGCATAATGATGTTTCGGTCAACGACAGACTTCATATACAACGGTGGTCCCATAAGATTAGTACCATGTAGCCTAGGTGTGTAGTAGGCTATACCATCTAGGTTTGTGTAAGTAAACTCTTATGAAGTTTGCACAATGACGAAATCACCTAAGGATACGTTTCTGAGACCGTATCCCAGTCAAGTGACACATGACTGAATGCATTGGTGTTTACCTGTGTTTTTGTAAGATGTGATCAAATAATAATGTATTTTCCAAGATAAAATGAATGTCATAGTTTAATAGGTTCAATTTAAACTTTGTAAGATAATAGCAATATATTCCAAAAATCTGGCATTAAAGATTGGTATAGCTGCAATTGAATTATCTTGAATAAAGCAGTGCAAATAGGTGCTTTTAAAAAGGAAGCAGCAATGATTTTGTGAATATTCAATTTTCTGAAAATATACTTGCTGGATAAGTATGTTAATGATTTGCCCCCATTGAGAAATGGTATTTAGAGGATGGTAAGGCACTACTTGCATTAGAGTAGGAATATTATTGATTTTCTGACTCTCACTTTTTTTTAGGTCATGGAAAATGGAAGATTTGCAAAATATAAATATTTTACCCATGTCATGATCAATAAAACAGATATGTTAATGATAACCAAAAGGTAACTTTCTTTCTTTTTCTAATATAATTTGATAAAAGGTTAACTGACAGCCACTCATGAAGTGAAGCAACTGTTATTCAACTTTTATTCCAGATAGTCACACTGATTCCTGCTAACTCTGGTCCTCTTGCTCTACAAACCTCGTACTTAAAACCTCACATAAATTTATGTTTAGCTTTGTACGTGCATATAGATAAATGCATAGCCATGCACAAACATAACTATAAATTAATTTATTATTTGTTTCAACCAATTCGGACCGATACAGAAATTCCTATAAAACTATCCTCTCAAGGGTTGGCCAATACCATTCCTTTCCCTTCTCTGAAAAAGTATACAATTTCAGGTTACCCCAGAAGTCACTGGTCTTCTGGTGGTATCTATTCATTAGAATACATAGAGATTCACTCACATAAGTAGATAGACCATTGGAGATGGGTCAGTTATTATGTGGTTACTCTCAACCACAGCCAAATCCTCAAACAGACCTGTAGACAGTGGAGGGGTACAAGCAAAAATACATAGTGGCGCCTCAGAGGGGCAAGTTTTTGCAGGAGTCGTTATTGTTAAACTGAGGAAAAGAAGGAGCAAATTTAGTATTAGGATGGAGATTTCTGGATGGCAGAAAGTGAAAATGTGGCTGAGGGAGAGAGGTTACGGCTAAATAGAAAGGAGTGGTCAATAAACCTACGTGGTTTTGTTCACTATTATTATCACATGCTTATGACAAGAACTATAAGCATCTTGTTAGTTCAAGTTGACTACTGAACTTAGCAGTCAGTTTTAATGTTTTTAATCCTAATAATTTGAGACTAAAATGTACAGCACTGTCTTAATTCTCTTATTTAAAAAGTAGCACAAAATAGAAAACTCACACAGTATTAGAATGTATACATGTTAAAGTCAGTCTTCATTCCATTCCAGATACTAGTCCCTCTTTTCCCCTTCCCAGAAGCAACTACTGTTACTTGTTTCCTTTGTATCCTTCTTGAAATAGTTTGTGCCTATATGAGCATACACACATATGTATTTGAATGTAAATGGGAATCTGATGTACATACCATTCTGTACTTTGTTTTAATTTTTTATTTAAGATCTATATCTTGAAGATTATTCCATGTCAGCATATGGAGACCTTTCTTAATTTGTAAGTGACTGCCTGGCATTTACATCTAAGTTGTTTCTAAACTTTATTATTACAGACAATGCTTCAGCAGTCATTTTTGATCATAGCAATTTTCAATCATGTTTTTATTAACCCTCTCCCCCATTGACTACAGGAAGCGTGATTTATTAGAGTTAAACGGGTCAGTTACAAAGTTTATTAGTTTACAAAATCTTGCAGCATTTTTAAAATTACCTTCTCAACATAGTAGAGCTCTTTAAATGAGGTCACATAAACCTTGACAGAGTAAGGTTAGTGAGTTAGTTGTAGTTGATGGAAAGGTGACATTTATACTTAGAATTTGCTTTTCATCCAAGTTTCGGATTTGAGGAGAAAGGATCTTTGAATCAGGAGAGGGAGTACTAGGTAGCTGCTACAAGATTAGCCTTTGATTCTTCACATGGTTGAAGATGTACTGGAGGGCGAGTAGGTTTGTTCCAACAGCCCCTATACTCCAGGATTGGTGAAGGAGGGGATCAGAGACAGAAGATTGAGGTGAGAGATGTAAATCCTGATTAGCTTTCTCTTCCATTCCAACCAGGAGCCAGCTTTTTCTTTAATTCACTCCCTTAACTTACAGTATCTGTTACTTAAACCTCTGGTTGCATCTACAGTTGATGTTTAAACCAGAAGGAAGAATTAGGGGAGAAAGGCCTTTGAAGGAAGGATTAAATAGAATTATTATAACCAATGCATTTTCATTTCTTGGTTTCTTCCCTCAAAATGGGGAAGAAACAAGAATTAATTTAAAAGACATCTGTCTGATGTAGGTTGGTCAATGTATTACATGGAGCCTTAGTAATAAAATCATTTATTCTAAAGCATTAATTATGTGAAAGTTCCCCCAAATATTGGTTAATTGATTCTGTAAATCTTTCCTATTTCTTATAAAGTGCCTTATATATTTGACTTTATAAGTACTTCATTTTTTCTAACATAAGTATGTTGTGTTATAAATTTCCCACTAAGCATTGCTTTAGCTGCATCTCACAAATTTTGTTATGTTGTGTTTTCATTCCCATTCAGTTCCATATTTTCTAACTCCTTTGAGATTCTTTGACCCATGGATTATTTAGAAGTTTGTTAATTGCCAAGCATTTGGAAATATTCTTATCTTTCTGTTACTGGTTTCTAGTTTAATTTCATTATGATGTGAGAACATACTTTGTATGATATCAGTTCTTTTAAATTCATTAAGATTTTTTATGACCCAGAATATAGTTTCTCTTGGTGAATGTTCTATTTGCACTTGCAAAGAATGTGTATCCTGTTATTATTATATTATTGGATTTAAGTGCCTCAGTCTTTTAAAGTGGATTCTGTTTTTTTTCCCCCAGTGGTGTATTGTTTGTAACCAAAGGAACATTTGGACAGCTTACGTGTGAATGGCAGTATAGTTTTGATGAGTTTACCAAAGAGCCATTCATTGTTCATGGAAGGAGATTGCGCATTGAAGCAAAGGTATATTGAAGAGATTTTTTTGAAAACTGGGAATTGAAAATAATGCACTGAAATAGTCCTCTTTCCTTTTGTAACGTTTCCATCTCTTTTATAGATGTTGCTTTGTCTTCATATGGTTTTCCTTTATACCTGCTGTCTTACTCAAGCTTAAAGAAAAGAAAGCTAGGCCAAGAAAAAAGATGCTACTTTATGTGCTTTATGTTCTTTATTTGCTATTACATTGACAACAACGTTCCTGGGCCCTTATTTTATATTCAGTAACAGATCCCCACCTTCCCACTGCTGTCCAAGGCACTAAAATGAGAAAATCATTTGTTTACCTCAGAATCCCTAGCAGTTCCCTACAGAATGTTTTTCCCTGAAAGTCTCTCAAAAAGACACTTGAAAAGTTCTCTCTCTCTCTAACAGCTGATTGTTGATAGTTCTTTCTCTTTTTATAGATATTATCTTATCTTCCCAATTCAATTCTAATCATCTTAAAGGCAGAGACCATTTCTCATTCTGCTTTGAGTACTAGCAGCTAGCACAGTGCCTGGTACTTGGATGTTGCTATAAAATACAGTGAATTGCTAGTCATTTAATAAATCAGGAGAAACTCCATATTTATTGTAAGTTGTACTGATTGTGCTAGGTATTATAGGTGATACAAAGAAATATAAGATAATATATTTGACCTCAAGGTATTTGACCAAATACCTGTGTGTTGGACCACTTTGGCACTGGCTGTATTAGTCAGAAATATTGTGAGTGATTCAACCCAAGTAAGTTTTGTTCTTTGTTATTTTTGTTTTGTTTTGATTTTGAGGGATTTAATTGGCTCATGTAACTGAAAAGTCTGAGTCTATCTCTTGTAGCTTAGATATGCTCAAATGATGTCATTAGCAGTTATTCTCCACCCCTTCCTCTCCTCCTTTGTTCTCTCCTTTGCTGCCCCCATCTCTAGGTTCTAGTTTCTTCTGCTTCATTGTCAAGCAGGCTATAGTCTGGTGACACAATGGCCAGCACACGTTCCACCCTTGTATCCTACTGGCTCAGCAGAATGAAAACTTCCCACTGGGTCTCACTGGGCCACCTTTGGTCATGTGCTTAATCCTGAACCAGTCACTTTGGTCAGGGAGCTGGAATGGGCCATAGCCAGGTGAGGGTCAAGGGATCACCATGGTTGCTACCAAGAAGGAAGAATCAGCTCTATCTGAAGTATTTGGAGTGAGAGAAGGTGAGAAATAGTTACCCAAAAGAGATTCAAAAAGTTGTTACTGGAAGAAGCATCGGACACAGGCAGGCAGAAACAACAGATGTCTTCTGGGCTAGCCTATTTTGAACAGAACTTCCCGTAGGCCTTGTGTTTAACCAGTGAAGACCATTTCTCCAATATTACCACTCATTCCAAAAACATGGGTCAGCTCTTGAGCTCTCAGACGGGATATTATTTCCTTTTTTTTTTTTTTCTTCTGAGCAAGATCGACCCTGAGCTAACATCTGTTGCCAATCTTCCTCCTTTTTTGTTTTTCCTTTTTTCTCCCCAAAGCCCCAGTAGATAGTTGTATGTCATAGTTGTACATCCTTCTAGTTGTTCTATGTGGGTGGGACGCTGGCTCAGCATGGCTTGATGAGCAGTGTGTAGGTCCATACCCAAGATCCAAACCAGCGGATCCCGGGCCACCGAAGCAGAGCGCATGAACTTAACCACTATGCCACCAGGCTGGCCCCTGGATATTAATTCTTGAGAGTCTTAGACCAACTTATTCACTGAGAATTTCTCTAATTCACTCAGAACGTGAAAGGCCCTGTGGCCACATATGAAATGATGTATAGTGGCTGTTAGCTTCTGCTCTAGCCCGTACTGCTTTCCTGGCTTTTTTCATATCTTTTTCTCCCTCCAAGGATAGGCTTCCTCTTATCTCCTTGATTTCTTCCCCTTCCACTTTTTCTTAAGACCTTGTATCAGCAATCATATTTTTAAAATAAAAGAATCTGATTTCTTCTGGAGTCTATATTTGCATGGTTATTTGAATTACTTATAGGAATTGTTAGACTAGTAAAACCTCCACATTGCTTCTTCTATAACTGTACCCATAGTTAATAGAGGTAAACACCACCCTTCTCCTCAATAATCCCATTCTTTCTATTTGTCCCTCTAATGCTTAACATCCATCCTTAGACAGTTCTTCACCACAAACACTGAACAGAATACCAAAGGAGTGTAAAAAGTGGAGAACAATCATATAGGATCTAGGACCCACCCTGATTTCTTTGATTCTCAAACTACATTCTTATTGCATGACTAGTTAAAAATGTCAGGCGTTACATACATACACACATACATTCACACACCCTCATATAACATATGAGGGTGTGTGAATGTACATATGTGTGAATGTATACATACATATATGTATGTATGTATGTATACACATAAATGTATATATTATTTTTGAGCTGAACTCATCATGATTCCATGGCCAGATATCAAGAACTATGTGAGAAATTATTTGGAGGGGAAAAACAGTGGCACTGTCCCCAAACTTATCTCCTTCCCATCCTCTGCATAAACCCTTTGTGGCTTTAGCAATTGAAATCTCACCTAAAGCTTTTTAACTTAGATTTAGTGATAATAGATATGTTAGAATTTAGTCCATTTTTTCCGTTTGTGTTTGATTCTTCTTGATTCCCCATTCGTGGCTTTTTTTAAGGTGTATGATATGTGTAAATGGATACTTTAAGCACAAATTTATAAAACTGCATGGCATTTCTTTATCATATTTCTACAACTGGATTTTCATTTTAATGAAGTTACTTATTCTATTTATAGGAACGAGTGAAATCTGTATTCCATGCCAAAGAGTTTGGAAAAATAATTAACTTCAAGACCCCAGAGGATGCTAGGGTAAATATAATGAATCTTTTACTTAAACGGATAGTAGCTTCTCATTTCAAAGTCATGTAAGTTGGGCTGTTTTTTAAGGCAGATAAGTATTGTTTGTTTTTAATTTTGTTTTTATATTTAAAACTACCAAAATATAGTTTTAGTATATGTAACTAGATAATATTTCCCCAAAACTATTTTTCATTAGATTGAATTCAGCACACCTACTTGTTTTTCATGTCAAATTGTTCCATCTTATTTAAATCCTAACTATAATACTTTGTAAAAAAGTCAACAAACAAAAGAAATTATTTCATTCTAATGCTAATCTACCAGCTCTAGCAGGGAAAGTACAGCCCCACATTGTTGATTTCTCTACTATATAGCTATAGCGATTTTTTTAAACAATTTTTTTAATTGATGTCTTAATAGTTTATAACATTGTGAAATTTTAGTTATACATTATTATTTGTCCATCACCATATAAATGGCTCCCTTCACCCCTTGTGCCCCATCCCCAACCCCCTTGCCCCTAGTAACCACCAAACAGTTCTCTCTGTCTGTGTTGGTTTATCTTCCACATATGAGTGAAATCACGTGGTGTTTGTCTTTCTCTCTCTGGCTTATTTTGTGTAACGTAATACCCTCCAGTTCCATTCATGTTGTTGCAAATGGGACGATTTTGTCTTTTTTATGGCTGAGTAGTATTCCATTGTGTATATATACCACATCTTCTTTATCCGTTCATCAGTCGAGGGACACTTGGGTTGCTTCCACTTCTTGACTATAGTGAATAATGCTGCAATGAACATAGGGGTGCATAAGCTTCTTTGGATTGTTGATTTCAAGTTCTTTGGATAAATACCCAGAAGTGGGATAGCTGGATCATAAGGTATTTCTATTTTTAATTTTTTGAGAAATCTCCATACTGTTTTCCATAGAGGCTGCATCAGTTTGCATTCCCACCAGCAGTGAATGAGGGTTCCCTTTTCTCCACAACCTCTCCAACATTTGT